TCCCTGTCGCTGTGCCCCTTATCCTCCTCCTCCACCTCCTCCTCCTCCTCCTCCTCCTCCTCATTCCGATCCCCTAATCCTGCCCGTCGCAGTCTTTGCGGGTAACCCATCCATGCATTCGTATCTCCTCCCTTCCCGGCGCCGTCACTGCAGTAAATCATCGGATAGAAAGAAAATCAGCTCCATGCTCTGAACCTCCCCCCAACCCTCCTTCCCGCCTCCCTCCCTCCCTGCCTCCCGCCCTCGTCATCTCTTCCACGCTCCTCACTCACCTTTCCTCGCTCACGCGCACTCTGCGCCGTGGTTGCCGACGCCGCAGCACACTGGAATCTTCCATTTCCCTACCCGCAATTTTTTCTTTCGTGTCCCTATTTTTCCACTTGAATTATTTTCGTCCACCCGCTGAGTTCGTGATCTATTGATATCAGGTCTCTCCCGCAGGATTTTTTCGATCAGCCTTGTCCATGGTTTACTTGGTCTAACTTCCCTGCAAGAATCGTCTCATACCCTGTCAATCGGTGGATGAATGAGGAACGCGTTGGGTGCTGAGAGGTCATCAAAGTGTACGATAAATTGCCAGGGGTCAATGCTCTACACAATCGTTCGACGTCTGCAAGGCAATTAACCACCAAACCTCACGTTTTTAACTTGCCCAGGCAAAAAAAGCTATCTCATGAGGGACTGCTTAAGGTTTCTCAATATAGTGAGGTGATAAAATCTTTTTTTTTTTCATGGTGTCGATTTTTTCCCTCAGTGCTAGCAACCTCCCTGGTATTCCACTCGAGTGTTACCCAAGTGTCCTCCACGACCAAAAGTCTAATACCACGCACGCTATTGACGTGCAATACACCGCCCAGTCCCGCAATCACGCGCTTTTCACCTGATCCCACCCCTGGACACTTTGCGCACGGGTAAGACTGGCCCTTCCAAAAAAAGGTATTAATATACACGGGAGGCTTTTCTGCACGCCAGCCCCTGAAGCTTTTCCCCTTGTCCGCCCCCGGAAAAACTTTTTTTCTCGTGATCCCATCGACGCCTTGGGAATTGTCCATTCACCCAAAAAGATTGTGTGTGACTGAATGACAGGTATGCTTTTTGGGACCAGACCCTCGACTTGATGGTTTTGAACGCTTTTGTTGGTTTCATCCTCTTTCTTGCCTTCCCCCCCGCCCCTCACGGCCATGTCCCCTTGCTCGTACAATTACGTGTTACAATGCATGCCCCCGTACACATGCGAAGAGAGCCGTGGCGCTCTCCACATGACCGTCATTGAAGGCGTCTCGATGTGTTGGGTTCAGGCTGCATCTATCCTCGTGGCCATCGTTGGACGCGTCAGACATGCCAGTCTAGTCCACGCGTCCAGCGGCCTTTTGCCTGTACTCTTAGCAATATAAACCACAAATTGTCCCTCACAGTGCACATGCACGTCCGCCTCATTGCTCACGTGCACGTCTTGTCCTACCCGTTCTCTTTTTCTTTTCTTTTGTCCCAAATGTTCCGCCTTTCCAGTCCTGACGTCGACCATGGCGAGGCCTTGGCAAGGCCCCAAGCTAGGGATGTGGCAATTAAAACCATGGCTCCTCCTGGCTTTGGCTTTAATGCTGACGGCGCCACACGTTGCTGGACGTCAAATCGCCTTTGTCGCACCCTCGGCGTCCGCGGTATGTCTCCCACCGAGCTCCGAGTCTTGTCTACGATGCGCCCATCTGCTAGGGGTTGTGGATGTGATTCGCAACCTTTTCCCTCCTGTTTGCCTCTTTTTGCGTCTTTCTATGGTTTCCCCCCCATTGTGTCGCTACTTTTGGCCTCCCTTTTCTTTTTACCTTTTTCCCAACGAGACGACGAAGCCCATCAGCTGCTGCAAACGCGTCACATAGCC